CAGTTCAAGTCCGTAGCTTATTGCTGTCGAGATACTAGAGTTTTACGATAGTTCTTAAATGAATGTCGTAGTTAGAGCCCGTCCGATTGGTCCCGAGTTCGAAAACTTTGAACTCGATGGATTCTAGTCATGATGTCCTACAGAAATATCATAAAAACTAATTTTCGAATTTTGACTTGGAACTCTCCATAGAGACAGACCTTAACGTGACTAGTTTCTTGTGAATGTCTCAGATCTTACCATTGCTCCTATCTTAAGATAAAGGTATAGTAAAAACTTGTCATTTATATCTAATAACAAATTCGACGTTCTTATGTCAACATAGAAGCTAATCAAAAGATTTGAAACATTCACAACAAATCACTAACGTTAAGCCCTGTCTTTACATCGAGTTTCAAGTCACAATTCGAAAATCAATTTTCCTGAAGAGGAACTAATGCATTCGTTTAAAAACTACCGTAAATTTGTAATATGTCTGTAGCTTATTTATGTCAATATGATGTACATAGTTTCGACTCAAAAGCGATCAATTAGTTGGGACGAACTTTCCTCGAAAGATCTCTAAATCAAAAATTCATACTCATACCGTTTGTGTTAATTTTGGTTTTTTCGAATCTTTCAAATAGAATGGATTCATTTGTTCACTTTGTTTTCTTGATTCTCGTTGTTTTTCTAATTCTTCAGCAGTTGGTTCAATATATTTTTTTGATTTTTGATAACTTAATGTAACACCGGAATATAAATTAGAATTATAATTTTCTCCATTATCACCATAAAATAAATCTTTATTATCATAATGTGAACTTGTTGTTATTGATTCATCTTCACTATCCGATGGAGGATCATTTATCCAAGCATTCAAATCCAAATTAGAATATAATCAAATCCAAAAAAAAAAATTTATCAAACAAATTTTATTTTACCCATTTGGTACAACAACTTTTCTTTGAGCTTTAGCAGCAACTGGATTAAGAACACAATCGAATAATACTGATAATTCATTAACATTAAATTCAGATTTTTCAATTAATTTTAATGTTGTTTTAAGAATATGTAAAATAACACTTGGCCTAAATAAATAATTTCTTTCTTTTTTATATTTGATATTTTGAGCTATTGGTAAAAGACATCCGAAGATTTATATTATGATTATTTTTATAGCATTTTTCATGAACTTTTCAAGTTCAATTAGTTTCGATGAATATTTTCAAAAGAGCAACTTCTCAAAATTCTATAACGTATATCAGTTGTCTGATACATAAAAAAACCTACAGTATATTTGAGCAAATAGATTCTTTCTAAAAAATAATTTTGTAAACTTTGGATAGCTGATGTTGATTAATTGTGATTTATCTAGCCTCTTTCGCTCGAAAGATTTTTGACAAATAGTTACTATTTATGGATTGTGTTTAGAACTAAACAATCGATGTAAAACTTTGAAAAATGTATAAGTTTTAACTTGTATTATTTATTTGAACCTTCGCCAATTCGAAAAATGAGTGATCATAGTAGAAGCCAATTAGAACAGGTCTATACCGGAGGTTATATTTGGGACAAAGGATATTCACAAGGATTTGGATCCGTATGCTAGTACATCCAATTTAAATTTGGTGATGACATACTCAATCCGATAGTAAATTCAAATTTAAATAAAAGTGTCGGAAAAAAATTACATATTCATCAGTCGTTATTTTTTAGTTCTAATGGAGCAGAAGGATCTTCAGTAAATCCAAACGGTCTGTAGTATATAGAGTAAATATATAACGCTGAATAACTATATAACATCTAATGAATATCATTAAAACTTCAATTTGAAACATACGTTTTATTTATATTATTTTATCTATTTGGTAATAGCTATTGCAAGACGGCTACTCATTTGCAATTAGAATTCAAAGTGTAATTAAATGCAGATTCATAGTAGATTTATTGCTAGCTACAACCTAGATTCAGATATCATAAATCGATTTTATCGCCAGGCTGTCCATTGTGTGGGTAGGCGGGTGAATATTAGGTGAAAAAATGAAAATCAAGTGATCAATGATTCAGATAGTGATTAGTATATTTGGAAATACACTCTTTCTGATTGCGTAAAAATTGTTGCGTAACACAGAAAATCACCTGATCCAGAATTAGTCTAAAAATATTACTAAATTACGAAAAATTAATTTTTACTCAAGATCTAACCAACTAATTGGCAAAAGCAATACATATTTTAAAATTCGTGCATTCTCTAGTGAAACAAAAATTTTATTTTGAGTCGTTACCTTTGAGAAATAAGATGAACATTTTTGCAATGAATTTTCCAAACCACTCTGTTATAGCAAAATGGATGCGCACTTCTTCGCACCAATCTAAGTCTACTCACACTTTGCGTACAAGTCCTTCTATATGACCTATATCAGCACAAATAGAAATCAACATATGAAACTGCGTTGAATGATATATAATAAAAATTTTTCTTGAAGGTGATCTTCTGAGCAACAGAAATTACATGTTTATCTTCCATCTGAAAAAAGCAATTTTTTATCT